ATGCATGGAACAATGATTACCACACCTTGATTTAGCAAACCAGATAGCAGTAGAAGTCAACGCTTAAGGATGAGGCTGCACAGCTGTCCCCTCCAAAACCTGGAATAGTGCCTGGGACAGTGTAGGGGTTTAGTAAATATTTGTGGGATGAATGAAACTAACTCTGGTTTCTGAAACAATGCTAGTAAAAATAGATGTAATTTCAAATATTGCATAGTGAAAATGAATTCCTATGTCTTCTTTATAAAGATTATTTAAATCATGGACTATCTCTTATGAATTATATTTTATTTTATTAAAAGATTATTTATTTATTTATTCATAGGACACAGAGAGACAGAGAGGCAGAGACACAGGCAGAGGGAGAAGCAGGCTCCATGCAGGGAGCCTGACGGGGACTCGATCCAGGGTCTCCAGGATCACGCCCTAGGCTGCAGGCGGCGCCAAACTGCTGCGCCACCGGGGCTGCCCTTATGAGTTATATTTTAGATATGATTTATTATATAATTATATAATTTAATTATTAATTATCTATCATGGTTCAGGAACTTTAAAAAAAGAAAAAAGAAAGAGAAAGAAAAAGATAATTAATTTAGGGATGTTTTTGCCCTGACAGCCTTTATTTTGCTATTTCAAAAGCTCTAGGGCAGCTGGGTGGCTCAGTGTGTTGAGCATCTGCCTTTGGCTTGGGTCATGATCCTGGGGTCCTGGGATCGAGTCCCACACCTGGCTCCCTGATCAGCGGGGAGTCTGCTTCCTCTCCTGCTCCCCCTGCTTGTGCACTCGCTCTTTCTCTCTCTCAAATGAATACAATCTGTAAAAAAATCTCTATAAATCTTCTCATCTTTATAGCAGTTTACAAAGTACTCTCCAACCACTATTCTATAATGAGTGTTGCTTTTGAATGGCAGTAAGAAGTATTAGGGCCTTAATGAGACATTTTAAGTATTTCTAAACAGTTATGAATTATTTAAAACCATTATTTATAGTAATTTCCTTTGGATATGTGGGATTATAAGGGTTTTGTTTTCTTCATTTTGCTTGCTTTGACTTTATGGAATGAACATTTATTGTTTTCTTTAAAAAGAGAAAAAAGAGAGGAAAAGCCCCCGGTTATTTAGAACCTGAACCCTTACACTCCATCTTTTTTTATTTTTCTTAAAGATTTTATTTATTCATTTGAGAGAGAGAGTGTGTGTGAGAGAACATGAGGCGGGGGAAAGAGGGAGAAGGAGAAACAGATTCCCCACTGACCAGGGAGCCCAACACAGGCTTCCATCCTTTTTAATAATCTACTATGGATCAAGCATTATTCTGCGGATGCAGCTAGAGCAATTAATAAGTCAATGATTCGGGACACCTGGGTGGCTCAGTGGCTAAGCATCTGCTCAGGGATGATCCCAGAGTCCTGGGATCCAGTCCCATATCAGGCTCCCTACAGGGAGCCTACCTCTCCCTCTGCCTGTGTCTCTGCCTCTCTCTGTCTCTCATGAATAAATAAATAAATAAAATCTTAAAAAAAAAAAAGAGCTAATGATCCTTACTCTCTTGCAACTTACATTCCAGTAGAGGTGGAGTAAGACAGGTAATGCAATAATAAACCTGCAGTACTGTGAAAAACTGGCAGAAAAAAATTAATGCTAAACAGCTGTGTAGAAACAAGCCACAAACATCTATCACCTTGCAGAGAATTTTTAAAAATTTTATTTTATTTAAATAAATTAAGAGTGTATCATTAGTTTCAGATGTAGAATTCAGTTATTCATCAGTTGCATATCACACCCAGTGCTCATTACATCACCCGCCCTTCTTAATGCTCATCACCCAGTTACACCGTCCTCCACCCACCATCCCTCCAGCAACCCTGAGCTTGTTGCCTAGAGTTAATAGTCTCTTAGGGTTTGTCTCCCTCTCTGATTTTGTCTTATTTGCAGAGAGTATTCTTTACTCGTTTTATTTGAGGATCTTGATACTTTTTTGAGGAGGGGGTGACAGGAATCAAAGTAATGCATGCACATGGTTTTAAAAAAGTATATCAGGGTTTATAGTGAAAAGCAACATTGTTCTGCCCACCTTCCCCAGAGACTACTATATATATTTTTAAATATTTTAAAAATTTATTTATTCATGAGACACACACACACACACACACACACACACACACACACAGAGACAAAGGCAGAGGGAGAAGCAGGCTCCACGCAGGGAGCCCGATGTGGGACTCCATCCAGGGACTCCAGGATCACGCCCTGGGCCAAAGGCAGGCGCTAAACTGCTGAGCCACCCAGGGATCCCCGAGACTACTGTGTTCTTAAAAAATACTTTACACCTTTATTTTTTGTTCCGGAAAATGAACAAAAAAAACCCTGTAGGTATTTACCAACATCCTCACTTTGTAAAATGAAGATCTGGGAGACCGGCCCTATCTATCTGGCTTTCTACTTCTGCTACCTCTTTCCATTTTCCAAAGTCTTGTCAATTGAGCTGTTCTAATACTTTTTACAGAAGACACACATTTTAAAATGCTCTGTGGCTAAATCTAAAAATGGGATGTGAGAGCTTATTTTGAGGTAGGACTAAGCATGTTTTTCAATCTTAACACTGGCCTGGGACTGAGCAGTCAATGTTCGGCCGGATGGCGGACAGGCCTTCATCACAAAATTTAAAGGGGTGCTAAAAACACACTAGAGAAATAAGTATTTTAATGCAATATTAAAACGTAGAAATCAATGCAAAAAACTCTGTAATGAACAAAATATCAGCATTTAAAAATAAAGACAGGCTCAGCAGAATGAGTAGAGGAGAAAAGACAAAAACAGAAGCATTTAAACGTTGCACCCCACCATTACCGGTGAGCTCATGTTACCACATCTATGACTATAAAGGTTGCTTATTAGAGCTGAAGTGTTTGGATGAGGGAAGTGAGTCTTTGATTAGGAATATGGATACTGGATTTCAGGGGTGCCCCCCACCACTGTGACCTCGCGGCTTGCAAACTAGGGAAGTGTTGAATTCAGAAATGTAATTTCTGTGATTTAAAACGTGAATCAAGGGGAGGGGCCAGCAGATAAATTCACTTTGTTCAGAACTTCGGCCATTTCCAACACAGTTCCCTCCTTCTGCTCTGTGCGAGCTTGTTGGTCCAGCAGCACAGGGCTTTGAATAAAGGTCAGCAAAGGGGTCGCCTTCCTGATTATTCTCTTCTACCCCGCAGGAGGAGGAAGCCCAGGGGGCCCCTTATCTACCTCGGAGTCGCAGCAAAACCCTGGGCTTCCCTGACAGCTGCAAATTCCTCCCAGGAGCTGCAAAGCTTCTGGGGTTGCCATGGGCCGTGAGAGTGCAATGCGGGTCGCTCTCGGCGGCGGCGGCGGCGGCGGCGGCGGCGGCGGCGGCGGCGGCGGCGGCGGCGGCGGCGGCGGCGGCCGGGCTGCTGTGGCTGCCTCCTCTCCGGGCCCTTTGAAAGGCTTTTAAAGGAGATCCCCGGGGGGGGGGGGGGGAGGGGACACCAACCAGGGCTTTCGTCCAAGCGGCTGGGGAGAATAAAAGAGGCTTTTCTCAAGCTAATGGAGCAAGTGCTGGGCTCGTTTCAGGGCGTTTTAAAGCCCCGGTCTTTCCCCGGAGGAGAGGCGGCTGCAGAGATGGTCCTTCTCCAGCTGCACTTGCTTTCAGGTTTTCCCAGGGATTGTGCGCTCCGAGTCTTTCCCCGGAGGGGGAGGAAAGCGGAGACGACGTTCCCCAAACTTAACCTGCTGTAGGCAGCTCCTCCTCGTTTGTGTCCAAGGATTTCTCACCCTGGGTCTGGGGAAAAAGAAAAAAGAAAAAAGAAAGGAAAAAAAATCAATCAGGCTGCTGGGCTGTGGTCAGGACTGAAGGCAGCTCTGGGGTGTGACTTGCCAATTCCGGGAACACTTTCAGAAAATGCGCAACTAACCGAAACGATGAGAAGCCGCTCAGCCAGGCCCCCGGGGCTTCCCTCGCAGCGGCCTCCCACCCGGTGCTCGCGGGGCTCCGAGGGCTGCTCGGCGGGCGCGGCGGCCGGCGCTGGCCTCCCCCGCAGCGGCGGGCGCAGACGAAGACGCGGCGGGGCCGGGTTCCGGCCGGAGTCGGGCCGGGGCGGGGGCGGGGCCGGGCGGCGCGGGGCGCGGGCGCGGGCGCGGGGCTCAGGCGCCGGCCTCCGGCGCAGGGCGGCCGGGCCGGGGGCGGGCGCGGCGGCCGAGCGCGCGGGGAGGAGCCGCCACGGCGTCTTCTCCTGGCGGCGCGCGCCCGCCCGGCCCCGCGGCGGCGGCGCGTCACGCTCTCCCCCGCCCCGAGCCGACGAGCCGGGAGGCGGGAGGCGGGAGGCGGCGGCCGCGCGGCTGCTGCTGCTGCTGCTGCTGCTGCAGTGGGGCAGGTGGCGGCGACCGGCGGCGGCCGAGGCGGAGGTGAGCGGGGCGCGGCGCGGGCCCTGTCCCCTTCCCCGCGCCCTCGTCCCCTTCCCTTGCGCCGGGCCGGGCCGGGCTCGGGCGGGGTGGGGGCCGGGCCCGGCGGGCGGAGGGCCGCGGGGGCCGCGCGCGGTGCCGCTCCCGGGGGGACCCGAGCAGCCCCGAGCGGGTGGCCCCGGAGGCCAGAGGTCCCTGGGGTGGCCCCCCGGAGCCGGGAAAGTGGCTGGCCCTGTCGGTGCCGAGCCCGGCCTTCCCCTCCTCCGTGCGCCTCAAGATGGAGCTCGGACTCCTTGCCCCTGCGCCGCCCCAGGCGTCGCTCCCTCGCGGGCTCCCGGCTCGGCCCGGCCCGGCCCGGCCCGGCCCGGCCCGGCCCGGCCGGGGCGCAGCGCCGGGGCTGGAGCGGCGGAGTCCGCGGAGCCCGCGCCCCGGCGGGACCTGTTGCCCCCCGGCGCGGCCGCCCGGTGTCCCGAGCGTGCGTCGGGCCCTGCCACCCGGTGCCCGCGAGCCGGAATGGAGGGCGCCCGGCCGTGGCCTCGGCGTGTGCGCCGCTCGGCGGGCTGGCCCCGCGGCCTCCCGCCTGGCCTCGCCGCGGCTTTTGTCCCCTCCTCCCAGGGGGTCTCCGGTTCTCGGAGGCGGCGGATGACCCGAGCTCGGCAGGATTTCCGAAATAACCCGAGCCTTCTCCCTCGGCAGACGGATGACACTCGTTTGCAGGTTATTTCAAAAGCAGAGGCTTCTGGTGCCGTTAATGCGGAGATCCTGGGCTTCAGAAATCTGATTTTGATTTGGGGATAAACCCTGAACCGGGCTGTTTCTCCACTTCGTGTGGCTTTTCCATCTGGCAGGAACCGAGCACCACCCCTCCTCCCTTCACAGCCCCACCTCTTTGGTATGAAGAAATTACACGTCGAGTCTGTAGTCTTCTACATACCTGTTTTTGGCAAAACGTGGCCACCAGTTACCCTATTTAAAAGGGATGGTAGGGACGCCCGGGTGGCTCAGCGGTTGAGCATCTGCCCTCAGCCCAGGGCGTGATCCTGGGGTCCCGGAATCGAGTCCTGCATCGGGCTCCCGGCATGGAGCCTGCTTCTCCCTCTGCCTGTGTCTCTGCCTCTCTCTTTCTGGGTCTCTCATGAATAAATAAAATCAATCTTTTTTAAAAAAAAAAAAAAAAAAAGGGAGGGTAGAGGACATTGGATTTTTTTTTTTTTTTTTTTTTAAAGCAACCTTGCCTTCTTCCTGTTTTAGGTTAGGACAGTGCCAACCTAGCCAGGAAGAGCTCAGTATTAGCGTGGCTGCTGTTGTGGTTATGATTCTGGTTGGTGTTACAATTTTATTATCATTACTATATATAACCTGTGGTATCCTCAAGTGTCTGACAAAACAATGTGTTTGACTTTTGAGTTTAATGATGACCTTTTGCAAAAATCCTCAGTTATGTTGCTCCTCAGCCTTGGGGGCATTCTTTTCTCTGGAAATAATAACAATTAACCTTTATTGAGGGCTTCCTTTGGTCAGGCTCTGGGCAAATCTTTTATGTTTTATCTCATTAATCATCGCACCCGATGAAGGTGCTATCATTATCCCCATTTTACAGAGGAGGCATTGAAAGGTCAAGTACCGTGCCCTGGGTCATACAACTCAAGTGGTGGTGTCAGGATTTGAGCTCAGGCATTGACTCCAGGTGTTTAGTTATTAGATTAGTGTAGTGAATCCCTTGGCAAGGAGCAAGGCTGGCTTTTATTAAGCCAAAGGAAGTAGATGATTGCTACAAACAGCTGGTGCTGGGTTTTTGAGGTCCAGAGAAAGTGGTAAAGTACATCTTAGGCCTCCTCATTCAAAGGAGTAAAAAAGCTGAAATTGGGTGGGATCCCTTGTAGGTATTGTCTGAAGATAAAGATCATGCCCTTCCCTACCTTTTCAAGAATTGCTTAAGCTCCTGTTGCGCTTGAGCACGACATAAGCTGATCTGGTTTCTACTCTCTAGGAGTTTAGAATTCTTACTTAAAAAATTGCCCTTTTTACTTAAAATTTTTTTTATTTTTATTTTATTTTTATTTTTTTTTTCTTAAAATTTTTTTGCACCCAGTGTCTAACATTGAATCTGCTGCAGCCCATGTGACTCATACATGAATACATGTGAACTTACCTCAGTAATGTTTGGCCCTTGCTTTTAAGTAGTCTCTGTTGAGATTCTAAACCCAATGGATGGTTAATAAGAGATGAACTGGTCCTTTTGTATTCCCTACAAAGGTAGGCATCTTTGAATTTTTCACTTACTGGTCACCTAATGTTCTTATTATTTGCAGATATATTTCTGGCTGTACACACACATTTTTTTCATTCTGGGAATGTATATAGTAAGGACCTTTCACTTTATTTTTCACTTTTTCATTTTTAAAAAAATTTTTAAAAAGTAATCTCTACATCAAGTGCGGAGCTCGAACTCATAACTGTGAGATCGAGAGTTGCATGCTTCACTGACTTGAGCCAGCTAGGCACCTCTTGTATGTCACTTAATTTGGTAAATGTTATTTAGTTGATTGCAAATATGAGGTCTGTAAGTTTTAAGATGGTTTTATAGAGGTCGAAGCTAAAGAAAACAGAGTTGGGTAGTAAAGTTACATGGAGATGGCTTAATATTTCTTAACATTAGAAGGAAGTTTTGTTCAGTGTTTAAAGTGAGACTTTTTACCCTCTGTAATTTTCCACTTTATCCCAATTATCAGCTTTTTAATTCTCTTTATTGTACAGATGAGGTGTGAGGTCCAGTGTTTTTTTTTTTTTTCATATATGAAGAGTGGACAGTGTTGTTGATGAGTAGTTACAAGCCGATAGTTCTTTACATTATTTTCAAAGTGTTGTGGTATTCTTCCCAAAGGCAGCAGGTGGGGCTATGGTGTACCTCTCTGTGGGCTGTATTAAGTTTCCTTTGGTATTCACTCAACAAATATTTATTAAACATGGCTGTGTGCCAGGTGCTGTTCTGGGTGCTGATGGTATAGCAATGAATAAAACTGAAATCTTTGTTCTCTTAGACTCCCACCCCCCCTTCAAGTAGGGGAGGAATACAATAACCATTTTCTTTTCTTTTCTTTTCTTTAAATTCATGAGAGGCAGAGACATAGGCAAAGAGAGAAGCAGGCTCAATGCAGGGAGCCTGATGTGGGACTCCAGGATCACACCCTGGGCTGAAGGCAGACACTCAACTGCTGAGCCAACCAGGCATCCCTACAATAACCATATTGATAAAATTTTTTGTATATTGGACATGATATATACATGGTATGAAAAAAATAATAAGTCAGGGAAAGGGGAATATGCCCTTTTGGGGGCAAGAGTTAGGGTAATAGATATTTTAGATAGGGTGGCAAGATATTTTAGATAGGGTTGCTGAGAATGTGACCTGAGTAAAGATCTAGAGAAAGTGAGGGAATGTAGATCCCTGGGGAAGACCATAGTAGAAGAGGAAACAGCAAGTACAAAGATCCTGAGGTGGGAGTCTGGGAGGGCGCAGATAGTTTAAGGCTATATAGATTGTAGTCCTTAAAATATGTCTTAAAATATTTTTAAAATAGTGAAAGATATAGAATAGTAACATTATTGACTTTGCTGAAGAAAAAGTTAAATATTGAGGGAACTGAGGCTCAAAGAATTTTACTAACTTGCCCAGAAGGCCACATAGCTAGTGAATACAGAGCTGGAAATTGAACCCTACTTTCTGGTACCTTCAGCAATGCGCAGAGTATGTTGGCAATGGCGCCTTAAGTGGCTGGCAGAAAAGCCAGACCAGTACTTGATGCTCAGACTTGAGTGTATACTTTATTTGTATGCAGGATGTTTGCTCAACCCTGGGAGGCCTTGTAACTGACATTTGCATGTATAGGTTTTTTTCTGGAATTGTGCTCCTGGCAGCAAAGCCTTCCTTTTTAGTCTTAATAGTTTCAGGGTTCAAAATCTCTGTTTAATATAAACCTTCATTTAAGTCTCTTCAATCTTAATTGGAAAGCATTGTCAGTATTGCCCAGGATATGAATTTTTTAGATAACTGTTTAGGGAGGCTTTAGACTTATTACAGCATCTTACATATTTTTAATATATGTAGTGTATGCTTCCCATGTAGATGGAACTCAGAGAATCCATATGCTTTAAATCGGCATTTCAGTTACAATGCTCTTTTAAGGGAAAACATATTGACTGATGGTACTATTCAAGAATTCCAAGTAAGAGCGACCTCTTCAGGTTTCAATCAGAACAGAGGCTTTTTTTTTTTTTTTTTTTTTTTTTAAAGTTGGCAGATAATAATTAACCAACCTTGGATTTGGCTAGGACGTCTGGGTTAATATCCTGGTCCTGGCACCAAGTAGCAAGGAATCTTGGCCACAAGTAGTAAAGAGCTTTTTTCCCCCCCCTCAACCTCCATCTGGCACTTCCAGGACAGATTCCACTAGCACTAACTCAATGGGTGGGTCTGTTTTCTTTTTTTTTTTTTTTTTTTAAATTTTTATTTATTTATGATAGTCACAGAGAGAGAGAGAGAGGGGGGCGCAGAGACATAGGCAGAGGGAGAAGCAGGCTCCATGCACCGGGAGCCCGATGTGGGATTCGATCCTGGGTCTCCAGGATCGCGCCCTGGGCCAAAGGCAGGCGCCAAACCGCTGCGCCACCCAGGGATCCCCGGGTGGGTCTGTTTTCTAATTGTTTGCCTTAACTGGTTCAGCAACAAAATCTTAAAAGTATGCTTTGAAAAAAAAAAAATATGCTTTGTAAAATTTTTGGAAAGAGGAAGTAGTCCTATTACAGAATCCCTGTTAGGAACTCTCCTTGGTATCTTTCCCTGGAGAAACGTATTCTCCTCTACCTCTTCTCAGGGATCCTAATGAGAGTACATTTTCCTGCCCTAATATTTTTACATGACCATAAGGTCTGATACAGTTGAGACTTGAATTAAGTAGTTTGATATTTGTATTCTCCTTTACTTATGTCTAAATATAGCTTGGATCAGGTCACCATATGAACTCTGCCCATTTTTCACACTTAAAATTGCTGAGTCCTTGATTTATTGTATCTTCTCTGGAGTTAAAGGCCCGAAGATCCAGATGATCAGGGTGTACAAATCATCCGAAATTTGGGTTTGGTATATAAAGGAATGGCAACTTTAATGAGACCCCCCCCCCCACCCGGATTCTACAGATCCTAGTCGTGTAGTGCACTGAAATACTTGGCATATGTTTTCCCCTCTCTTCTCAGGAAAGGTAAGAGATATTAGGGATGTTTTTCTAGAAATCTTGTAATCAAATCATTTGACCTCCTGCCTTCTCTCTTTAACTGATTTACTCCTAAGAATAATTTCATATTGGAGACGTTATGTTCTAATACCTTAAGGCAGGAGGGATCCTATTAGACTGTTCTTTTCCAGACTGTAGAATAAATAAGTTTTATAGGCATGGTAATTTTTTTTTTATGGCCTAAGTGAAAGAAAACTATTATCACTAAGTTTCCTTCACACATGGGTGACTAGAAAAAACTGTTATCTTGAAGCCATATTACTGATTTCTGTTTTAAGGCATATATATATATATATATGGCTTACTTAGGTTGTTACATGGAGAATCTAGTTTCAAATTTAGATTTTAGAAAATGTTTCCAGTGAAGTGATGATTTTTGGGGGTTCACAGGTGTTTTTTTCCTTATATACTGGTTTGACAGTGGTCCTTATGTTTCATTAAATATATATCAGTTGTCTTATGTAGGTTCAAGGCATAACGTGTAAAACATATACAGAAACACAGAAAAAGGCAAGTTAGCCATAATCTTACTGCCCAGGGAAAATCATTTCAGTGTTTTAAATACTTTTTTAAAAGTCTGAGTTTATATTAATATTTTTAA